TTCAACAGCTATTGGATCTGGTAATACAGGAGGTCTAGGTTTAGATAGTATCCCGTCAATTGATTATACTTTAAATTTGAATGCAGATATCATATACCCCATATTTAGAATTCGATTATAATGATTAAAGCATTAGCATTTTACAAATTAATTTTTTATTTTTTTGGTAGTTAATAACAATGGTCAATGGAAGACCAGAGGCCAGACAACTTTGAAAGAATTATTTGCACTATCTTCGAATGAGCGTATTGTAGTGTCTGCAAACTCGAATTAGCAATCAATTGGTGAAAAGGCTCAATTATTGGCTAGATTTCTAGGCATACTTGCCCGTAATGGAATGAAATTATCTATTCATTATAAAACATGACATAAAGTTCCAGTAGAAGTTAAGGCCCATTCTTTAAACTTTATTGAGGTATTAGTATAATTAATCATATATAAATATATAATTATTTTACATTTTGTTTACTTATTCAAATTTTTTTATTATTTACAATCAAAATTTATACTTGAAATACCAACTTCATTTGTGCTTAAGTCATTGGAAAAGAAATGGAAAGATTATAAGCATAGTTTGAAGAATAAGTATTTTGATCGAAATACTACTGTAGAGGTGACAATAAAAAGTCTACCTCGTAATGTGATTAGGTAGCAATATGAACAATTAGTTAGATTTTGATTCTAAAAAAAGGAGAGGTACTACTTTATAACTTTATATAGTAGAAGGAAATCATGAAAGTGTTTTATGCTTTAAATTAGTAATATTTGTATTTCTACTATATACCCAATTATTTTTGTGACAAGAAAGAAAACAGATTGGGATTGGTAACAGAAAGCAACAAAAATATATCCACACAAGTGGATCAAAAAATTTTGCAAGAAAGCAAAAAGAAATAGTAAGTTTATGATTTTAAACTTATTTCAATGAATGAACTTTTTATGTCGTTAAAAGATAAATATACAAATTAACAGTTATTGTTCTATTTTAATAGTTTCAATACAGGATATTAAACTTATTGAAAGTATTGAACTTAGTTGACACGGATGATATGTATGAAAACGTTATTGTTTACATCTATTTAGGTAATAATATAAATTTGTTGTTGTTGTTCTATTTTAACAGTTTAGATAGCTTCAATACTTGATATTAAACTTGTCCGATAGATTGAACTTAGTTTCTACTATTGAAATGAGTGAAAAAGCTATCGCTTATATCTATTTGGGACTATTTTTGCCTTTAAAATGCAAAAATACAAATTAAGCGTTTGGATGGCTTTGAACAATTTGAATGGCTTCAATCCATGATATTAAACTTGTCAAAATAATTGAATTTGGTTTCTATGATCGATATATGTGAAAGGCCGAAATGCTTTTATTATTTACGTTTGTTTAAGACTATTGTATTGTTAAGAGGCCAAAATATAAATTTACAGTTATATTTATATTTTAACAATTTTAGATAGGTTAAATAAATGATATTAAAATTATTCAAAAATTTTAAACTTGATTGACAGGCTTCATATGCATGAATAAGTTATGGTTGATGTGTATTTAACAATAATATATGTTTTTGTATAAGAGATTGAGATGGGTGGTAAAATTAGACGTGTGAAATTTTTTTGCTTAACACACAAAAAAAAGATAGATCTTACATGAATGTCAAAACACAAGAAATTGTGATAATTTGTAGCATCTATTTTAACAAAAAGTAAATATTCACTCTTTTTAACATATTATCAATTAATCATTAAACTTGATAGTTGTATATAACTAATTTATAAGAAAAAACAAAAGAGAAAATGGTTGCTAAAATTGAAGTAGTATATGATGGTTCGTTAACATGCAAGAACTGAAAAATTGAATATTCATAGAAGTTGCTAGAAAAGAAAGGCATCGACGAGTATGAGGTCTTGGATTGGGTTTAACACTATCTACCTACTATGGACGTGGCTCTCAGCAAGTTAGTATTCATGAGATATTTCGATATTGAGAGAGGAGTTGCAAACTATGCAACAAAGTTTCTAGCAAATAGAAGCAGAAAGAGAATAAAAACGTGTCGAAATTGAGGAAAAATGTGCTAAAATTGAGTAGAGCATGTAAAATTTCAGCAGTTGCATGATCTATTTAATAATCTTATGAATTTTATGCAACAACAATTTTCAGGAACTGATCTCAGTGATCCACCAACTCAGATATTATATTTACTAAATATTTATATTGTTTTAATATAAAAAAGCTTACTATGAAGTGTTAAAAATTATATAGTATTATTTAGTATGTTCTTGAGCACGCTAGTGACCAAGATGAAAAAATTCTTTCATCAATTGACAACCTTCAAAATGTATGCAGTCATTAATTTCATACATTTTAATTTCTTTTGTTAATGTATTAAAAAATTTGAATGTTATTGTACTAATTATTAAACTTTGTGTTAATTAGCTGCATATTTGAACGTGAATTAAGTGTTTATTAATTTAAGTTCATTTTTTATTTTATTAACATTTCTTGTTAATGAAAATACTAAATATTAATAGGAATTTTTTAATTAAAAAGAAAAAATAAATTTCTTAATTTCGCTGTATTCGTGTTTAAGAATGTCGCTAAATGAATAATTTAGTGACGTTTGTACCATAAAACGCCACTACAAGTACCAATGATCTTATCAAAAAATTAGCAGCATCTTATCATTTAAACGCCACCATAATATCGATATTTTTTTGATAAAAACGTCACTAAAATAGCGGCATCTAAAAGCTACAAATACTACTAATTTAGTGGGGTTTGTAGAAAACACTGCTATTTTTTTTTATGCATGTATAGTCGACACTCTGACTAGCATTTTTCACAAACACCGTAAATCTTTTAGTGACGTTTATAAATGCCACTAAACGTTAAAAAAAAAGTCATTAAAAACCTAAACCCCTGTAATGAACAATCGTGTTAAGTGCAAGCATTTTTAAACTTAATCAAGTCTGAGTGTGCATTTTAAATTGAATGTAATTAAATTATTTATAAAAAACTCAACCATCTACAAATATTTTGTCAATTAAATTCATATATTGTAGAGCTTTTTTGTTGAAAATTTTCTTCTTATAACCCAATAAAATTTGTTTAATGTGATTAATCGTTTGTATTTTCATAATTTTTTATTTGATCCTTGTAATTGATTTTTAGCAAAATTTCTTGCTCATTTTTATGAATAAATAATTAATTCATTTATTAAAAAAATTTTGTTTAATGTTCATACAATCAGTTGTCCGATTAATTTGATTAAAACTTGATCACCACAATCAACTTATTGGAATGCTTAGATAATGTACACCTTGATTGTCACATTGTCAATACCTAAAGAAATGGCTTGCCCTTTGTTCAGGGAAGGACTTTCCCAACATTCCACTGACGTTGCATCAAAACATCATTTTAGAATTAAACATATAATTTTAAATTTATTTAAAATCATTAAATATAATTTACACATGCTCGATATCATTAAATACGATTTATAGTTATTCACGTGATTTTTTTTAATTTATATATATATTATTAACTGTCAATTATTTCAATTAAATTATTATTTATTATTTTATACATAAGATGAAAAAAAAAAAAAAAACTTAATTACGAAAGAGAAAACACTTTTACTTCATTCCTAAATACTTTCCTTCAATTGAAATTTCCTACATACACTTTTATCTTAATCCTCATTCTTCCTCGTATACTTTATTGACTTTGAAAACATATCTTGAAAAAATAACTTGGACGCTTTCTAATCATGTTTTCTAATTACAGGTTGAGGCTACAAAACTCTCGACAACTTTTTCTAGTTAAAATACCCAAAACACCATAATAAATGTGATTAAATTTAATGTAGAGAGCCATGGGGAATAAAATTATTTGAAAGAAACAATTTTCGACTTATCCCATAAAAGGAACATACCGCTAATTAATAAATTCAAAGGGCAATCACAGTCAATTATAATTGATGGTTGATAGATACTTTGTTTTTTGTATCCTTTTTCTTTGCTATCTTTTTCAATTATTTTCTTTCTCCCAAGATGAAAATGAGACCTAAAAATAAAATAAAATAAAAAAGGAGAGTAAAAACCCAATCAAGATGGGGACCACAATTCCAGTTCTCTCTATCATCCCTCCTCCACCGTCCACGTCATTCTTCTGTTCCACCCTCTGTAACTTTTCCTCTCCTCGTAGTGTGAAAGAATTTTCTACAATTTCTCTTCTAAATTACACCCCTACTCGCCTCGATTATCAATACATCATGTACTCGCTGTGTTTATCCCTAACGATAATGGATTTTGTATTTTTCTTTTTTAGAAAAATTAAACCATATCAAAATTTACTCTTTACACTCCACGTTGAAAACATTTACCATCAATTACAAAAGGATTGAATTTCAATACATAAAATGCAAAATAAATTCCAAACTTTATAAATGATTATTATTATTAAAATTTTAAAAAATTATAATTTATATATTTTTCAATCCAATTTATACTTTTGTATTTAAAAAATTCTATCAAATCTGGTTGAATAACTACTATTCTAATTACTAAAAAAATTATATTAATTAATTCATACAACTATTTTAAAAAATAACATTATAAATATAAATTTTAATATTATAATTATTCTTTATTTTAAATTATGATTTTTTTATATAAAAAATAAATTTTTAAAAATTTATATGTAAGTTTTTAATTGAGTTCAACTCAAAACTTAAAAATGAGTTTTAATCTTTTGGATATTATTAAATTATTAGGATTTTTTAAAAGATTTTAATAAAGTATTTAATAATTAATAGTGATTTTTTTAATATATTTTTACCAAGAAAAAAGGGCGACGATATTTTGCCACGATACAGAAGCAGGAAGCAAGTCGGTTGAGATAACCTAAACGAGAGGATAACCCAAAAAGCAAGCTACGTCCTGTGTACAACTTGTTCCAGTTCTGGTCCAAATTCTGACCTTTAATTATGTGCCACGTGTAATGTCTGCTCTTCTTGTCTCTGTGGCGTTGACACCATTTTGACAGGCTCATATCATATCATCGTGGCCTTGGCCTTTGCTTTCAGCTATCCCACATAATCAAAAATAAAAAAGGCCTTAGAAATCATGGAGATTCTCCAACTCTAAACCAAATATATATTTAAAAAAACAACACGAGAAATTTTATTCCAAGTTATAAGAAGAAGAAGAAGAAGAGGAAAAAAATTAGAAGATTCATATAACTGCTGCTTTTTTATTTATTTTCTGGGAGTTGGCTTTGGAAAATGGAGCGTTACGAGATACTAAAAGATATTGGATCAGGGAACTTTGGTGTTGCCAAGCTGGTTAGGGATAAATGGAGTGGGGAGCTTTATGCTGTCAAGTATATTGAAAGAGGCCCCAAGGTACCAGATTTTGTTTTAGCTTCATTTCACTATTGATCTCCAAGGTTCATGTTCATGATCTTGTATCTGTTGCCTTTGTTTATTCATAAGCTAATTTGGGTTGTGTCTTTTTTAGTTTGTGGATTGATTTCATGAGGTTTTTTTGGCTATGCAGATTGATGAGCATGTACAAAGGGAGATTATGAACCATAGGTCCTTGAAGCATCCAAATATAATAAGATTCAAAGAGGTAAATATATACTGCTTTCGTACCTAACATTTTTCAGTTGTGTGTAGTTCCTTGTATGATTCAGGTGTTCAATACAAGCATTACTTGTATAAGTTTTATAGCTCCTGAATAGAGGAGTGAAGGGTTTTACTTTTTCTTTTCTCCTCAACTAATAGAATGAACTTTCAAAGAAAATCAGTTGTCTCTGAACCCTCTCAATTCTAATATATGGCCCTAGTAGAAGTAGGACGGTTGAGATAATCTCCAGCTTGTAGATTTTCAGTAGCTTTGCTTGAATAGCAACCTAGTTTCGGAGATTTAGCTTTCAATTTATCTTTGGCTTCATTCTGTAAATTAGATAATTAAAACTGTAAAAAAAACAGTTGATCAGAATCTCATTCTTCGCCAATGTTTGATTGAATTTAAGTTTACTTGACAAGATTTAAAGAAAGGACATGGGGGTTTGTGATCTACTGATAGTGGAACAATGTCAATTTTTTTGCTCTGCCTTGGCAAATGAACAGGGCTAAAGTCAATGGTTTCTTTATATGATTAATGCAATCCCAAACAGAAAAGATATATTTGAATGTTTCAATAACTTTCGAAAAGTAAAAAGTGTAAGATAAATCAATTGCTTGGAGTGGTCAAGTTGAAATTGTTTTAGTCTTGCTGTCTATGACTGAGAAATCATTTCAAATTACTTCTTAATTCTTCTATTAAGCAGCAGTTCTAAGTGAGCTTCTTCCTCTTCTTTTTTTTTTTTCTTTGCAGGTCCTGTTAACTCCAACTCATCTTGCCATAGTCATGGAATACGCTGCTGGAGGAGAACTTTTTGAAAGAATCTGCAATGCTGGTAGATTTAGTGAGGATGAGGTATATTTTGTAAACATTTTCTGATTTTCACATGTTTAGTAGTGTTTTATTGAATTGCATTCTTTTTCTTTTTTACTGTCATTACTTTACTGCATCAGGCAAGGTTTTTCTTTCAACAACTGATATCAGGAGTGAGTTATTGCCATGTAATGGTATAGCCTTACTGCCTACTGGATCCCTCTAATTCTGAACATAGTTTGCCATTTTTGCCTATCTAGCTAAATTGAGATTCTTCCCCCATTTACACAGCAAATTTGTCATAGAGATCTTAAGCTGGAAAACACACTATTAGATGGGAGCACTACAGCGCAACTCAAAATATGCGACTTTGGCTACTCTAAGGCAATGAACCTACTAATTATTCAGCATCTGATCGACTTACTATAAAGTCAATTATTAACTTTCTACAACATGTTTCAGTCAAGTGTGTTTCATTCCCAGCCCAAATCAACTGTAGGAACCCCAGCCTACATTGCACCAGAGGTCTTGTGTAGAAAAGAATATGATGGGAAGGTAAATTCTTATTCCCTTTGTGAGGTTGGTATCACAGTAAGACCTAGTTTTGGGCACAAGAAATCCATGATCAGTGATTTATCTTTGAAAATTGTAGATTGCAGATGTTTGGTCTTGTGGGGTTACTTTGTATGTCATGCTGGTTGGGGCTTATCCTTTTGAAGACCCTGAAGATCCAAGAAACTTTAGAAAAACAATTCAGGTTAGTTGGTAGCAACCCTCTTCCATAGATTGTAGATTTGATAGTTTTTCATGTTCAGATTAAAATATGGTAATTGGATTATGACAGCGGATTCTGAGTGTGCACTATTCAATTCCCGACTACGTTCGAGTTTCAAAGGAATGTAGACATCTGCTATCCAGGATTTTTGTTGCAAACCCTGAAAAGGTAAATACTGTTTTTCATGTTTCTGAATTCAAATATTTTAACCATTTTTCTTTGAGTATATTCACTTTCTAGTGCATGTGTTGTAGAGAATAACCATACCAGAAATCAAAAACCACCCCTGGTTTTTAAAGAATTTGCCTGTAGAATTCGTGGGAGGAGAGGATGGCAACGTGGAAACTGAAGAAGAAAATGATCAATCTCAAAGTATTGAAGAAATATTGTCTATAATTGAAGAGGCTAGGAAACCTGGTGAGGGTCCCAAAGTTGGTAGTCAATTACTTGGTAGCATGGATCTTGATGACATTGATGATGCAGACATAGATGACATAGAGACAAGTGGTGATTTTGTCTGTGCATTACAAGTGTGAGTCTAAAAATCATGTAAATTTTACAAACCAATCTTACTGAAAACTCAAAAGAGAAAACAGTTCGAAGATAAGGCATTCTTTTCATGGCTAAAGGGAATCTGTTCAGTGGATAGTGTTGCATTTCCTTGGCGTGAAAGCCTGCTTTCTGTAAAGGAGTGGAAGGGGATTAGAAGTTATGTTGGTTCTTCTAAAGTTTAAAGTCTCCGAAGTTCTAAATGTTTCTGTTTTCCATTGTTGATTAAATGTCTGCCCGCTGGCTTCTGCTCGCCTGCGACAAAACCAATTCCATTAACAAATCTCCAATGCGTTGACGTTTGATTCTAACCTAAGTAATGGCAAATATTGTAATATAGATTATGTAACGAATGCCATGATCATTAGAAAAAGTACGGGCATATACCTCCAATATAGACAAAAAAAGTGATATAATTGTCAATTGTTAAATGCTGTCAAGCTTCAACACTGCTCGGTGGATAATATTTAAATTCATAGTTGCGTTTGGTGGGATATCGTAGGATGAATGAGTTTTGAAAGAACTTTTTTTTTGTGTCTCATCTATGTTAAATATATATTTTTTATTTTTTAGTTTTATATTCCAATTGAGATTTTCCATTGTTAATTGGTTTTAATTCATAGTTAGAGGTATCAAAAGAGTCGTGTTATACCGACATAATCAATTTAAATGTTAACTCACATGTTAATGAATTGTGCTAATTCAACACTAAATTTTAAAGAGACGTGTTAATATGGTCAATAAAAACTAAAAATATGATCCAACATGACACATAACGTGTAATTCACATAAGTCGTGTTGAGATAGAACACTATTGTTGAACCGTGTCAAGCACGATCTATTAATTTTTTTTAATTTGTATTATTTTTAAAATTTTTTCATCTATTATTAAAAATAACATGTAAGATAAATAAAAGTAAAATAAAATAAAAATTACACATAATCTACCTAGTGTGGCAAAATGTCTACATCCACATAGAAGAGTAATAAAATTCACTAAAAAATATATATTAAATTTAACTAATATTTCAAAACATACAAAAAAGAGATTATAAGACACAAGATTCTTTTTCTATTTCTTATTTTTATCATCTAATAATTCACTTATATAATGTAGGCTTGTGCTCCGACTTCTTCATCTAACCAATCTTTAAGTAATATGCAAATTTTGATAGTATTTTGCTCTCATCTTGGTCCTACCAAAGAGGAAAAGACTTAGATAAAATTCTTAGGTAAATTTCATAAAATTTTTTATTAAAATTCATTAAATAAAAATTAAAATCGAAAATCAAAATTGATAAGTTAAAAAGTCTTATTATATAGATCAAGTGTGTAAATTTTGAAAAAAATTAATAAATTTTTATATTTATTTAGATAAGTATTTTTAGTAAAAATTTTAACAGAATTTTTACGATTGAAAAAGCATTGATTAAATTTAAATTATTAATGATATTTAAAAAAAAAAATTTACCTATTATTAGTGTTCATGTTGAACTCTGTCAAATTATTAGTTTTAATTTTTATTTAAGTTTTTGTTAAATCAATTTTCTAAAAAAAATTCATAAACTTCGCTTAAAAAATTTCATCTAAGTTTTTTTCTACCAAAGATATCTTAATTATTTTTACTACCTATAGATCAAGTGGCATTTTTTTCTTTTTTACTTTTAATAGTTTTTTTTTTATGAGTTTTAATTTACTAGTTGTGCAGCTTTTATGAAATCTTTTTTAGTAAAAAAGTGAGATATCATATATTTTTATATTCAAAATGAAAATATTATAAATTCATCTAATAATAATTTAAATATTTTTTAAGTAAATTTATTTAATATAATTTTATTTTTATAAATTATCAACAAAATATAAAAAATAAGTATAATTTCACCATCAGATTAAAAATATGAATAAAATTCATTTAGACTTGTGTGTTGTGTAGTGCTTGCTAACGTGTCATTTGGGTTTATGTGTCGTTTCGTGCTAACCCGCGTGTTGTGTGTTGATACTGCCTTTAATGAGTTATGCCGTATCGACCCATGGACTTAAAATCCTGTGGCCTAGCATGGCATGTGTATGTATATGTGTTGTGCTTTGCCCAAACCAGTTACTTAAAAACAAGCCATATCAAGCATGGCTCACACTATATCAAATCGTATTATGCCATGAGCCATTCAACCTATTTTACACCTTTAATCGTAGCTCAAGTTTTGTTCTATGATTCCTGCTTTCTACCTCTTCAAAATTTCTCACATGATAATTACGATTATACGTGATGGAATCTTGCCTTATACCTTTTCAAGTTTATCAAATGGTAGGTTTATCTCTACATTTAAACGAGATATAAGCATGATAAAATTATATTATCTTTCATTTATTAAATTATAAAATTTTTGTGATTTTACATTTAAAGTAAATCTTTTTATTTATTATCAATTTTAAATTGAAAGTTTAATATTATGCCCACGAAAAGGATTTTAATTTTGTGCATTACCTAGTAGGATTTTTCACTACTTATTAAACTACTTCAGGTTTAGAATAACATTTAGCATAAGTTGGTTGGCTTGGCAGCCTAGAACAATTATGTTGGTATAGATTTTTTCATGAATTGAGCTAATTTTAATAAATTTTTTCATGCCATCATCAAGGACCTTTCATTTCCTTTATATGCTTCAGTGGTGAATTTGAATTATATAAAATTTGATAGTCAGGAAGATGAGGGCAGATTGAGATGGGTGGGCACTTGAATTGATAACATTTTTATCAATAAATTTAATGGAGTCAATCCCATTTAAAAATTATATCCTTTGTGGATTCCATAACTACACACCTGTTGAATTTGTTGGATTTCTAATGTACTTTTTGTGTAATGGGCCTTAAGAGTGCGATGAGGAGTCACATCCAATCATTTTTTTTTTCATTAATTTGATCTAAATTTATCACTTTTATTTAAAATGAAAGATTAAATATACCACTTCTCTTTAAAGTGATGCACATTTGTGATCAAATCCTACGTATTTCGCATTAGATGGAGACCAAAAAAAAAAGGAAATTATGCACTAAACACAAAAAACTAGTAGTAGTAGTAGGTTGGAAATAAAAATATAATCGAATGAGTTTGAATCGATATAATATTAAATTTAAGTTCGAATTTAATTTTAAATTTAAAATTCAAAATTCAATTCGAACTCAATTAAATTTTTTTTTTTAAATCGAGTTCGACTCGATATAAAAATTGAGCTATTCAAATTAATTCTATTAGGTTTAATTAACATCTAAAAATAAGTTCAATTTTTTTATTCAATAAAAATTTAATTATTTGTACTCGAACTTGAACTTGAGTTCGAGATATTTTATCAATTAAAATAATTAAATTATATTAAATTATAAAAATTTGATTAAATTCATGAATTACTTGAATCGAATATAAAAATATTCGAATTCGATTCAATCGATAAGTTAAGTTATTCGAATTTGAATTACTCGAATTTTCGAACTCGAATTTAAGTTCGATTCGATAATAATTAAATCAAATTTAAATTTTATTTGAATAAAATTCAAATAATTTATGAATACTAATGTATTATTTACATCCTTAATTAAAAACCAACACAAAAAAAAAGCCAAATATTTGAGCCATCTATAATCTGTAACATCATTTAAAATTCAACCAAGTTGACACTGTTTATAAGCCGATACTCTTTTACCTCACACGTGTGACTTGTCTCGAACATTTAGATGATTTTCAAGTGCTTTTTACCATTTTCGTAATTTGAAAATAGATTTTGACCATTTTGATTAAAATAAATTTTTTATTGCATAATATTTAAAAAAATAATTGTCTTTGCTCCCATCGATTTTTCCTTTTCGACAAAAAAAGCCATAGCATCATAATTTAAAAATAAAAAATAATTATATATATTAAATTTAAATTTCAAATAAATTAAATATTATTTTTACAAAATATTATATAAATCTATCAAATTAAGTTTAGTTAAGAAATTAAAAACCATTGAAATCTTTTTTGGGCAATCAAAGATCTTGGACCATGCAAGCCCACTTAACAAATTAAGGTAAAGCCCAAATTACAAAATCTGAACCACAAAAATCCACGTGTATGAATCCAGTTTGACTCAGACAAACTTATATTCTTCCTCAGCAACACCAAACAATTCCCCTTCTATATATAGGGTTCGTAAAAACCCTAATCGTTCTTTTGCGAGGAAGCCTTAAGCCAGCTAGACAGCAGCAGCGGCATTTCTCCGCAGGGCTATAGCCTAAAGACCCATCTAAGAAAAATGAAGGTTTTTTTTTTTTTCTTCTCTTTCTTTCTTTTTAATAAGGAAAAAGATATTTCAATCCTCTTTGGGCTTTGTTTATTCTCTTCATTTTTTGAAATTTTTTTTTGTTTGTTCAGTTCAACATTGCAAACCCTACCACTGGTTGCCAGAAGAAGCTGGAAATTGATGATGACCAGAAACTGTATTTTCCTTTCTCATCTACTAAATTTTATACTGATTATTTTGTTAAGTAAGGTTTTCTTTTGGCACCTGTTCTTTTCAAAATTCCCATCTTTGTTTACCCAATGCAAGGAAAATGGAATGGGAGTTCAACTACACAGTACCTTTTTACCATAGTTGTTTCTTGCTAACAGTGTGCTTATACATTTTGCGGCTTGGTGTGACTGTGATTGTATTTCCAAGCATTTATTTATTCTCTCGATGCTATGCTAATTGTAATGTTTCTGAAGAAGAAAAATTGCTGACCTTGAACTTTGAAATTGCAGCCGAGCCTTTTTTGACAAGAGGATCTCCCAAGAAGTCATTGGTGATGCCCTGGGTGAGGTATGTTTCCAAGTTACTTCTAGCTTTGCTTTCTCTATCTCAAATTTATGCTATTGCATCTTTCCTTCTTAACTGCAGTTTGCTCTCCCTTTATTATCATATAATAGGAGTTTAAGGGCTATGTATTCAAGATCAAGGGAGGCTGTGACAAGCAAGGTTTTCCAATGAAGCAAGGAGTTCTCACCCCTGGCCGTGTTCGTCTTTTGCTTCACAGAGGTCTGTCAACTGCAAGTTTGTTTGCTTTTTGTTATTTGTGTTGAAACGTTTTTCTTGTCTGGATTCTCGGTTCACTGAATGACTGTTTTTCTTTGAACAGGTACCCCCTGCTTCCGTGGGTATGGTAGGAGAAATGGAGAGCGTAGGAGGAAGTCAGTTCGTGGATGCATTGTTAGTCAAGATCTTTCAGTTCTGAACTTGGTTATTGTGAAGAAGGGTGAAAATGATCTTCCTGGATTGACTGACACTGAGAAGCCAAGAATGAGAGGTCCAAAGAGAGCATCAAAAATCCGGAAGTTGTTCAACCTCTCTAAGGAGGATGATGTTCGGAAGTATGTTAATACTTATCGCCGAAACTTTACAACCAAATCTGGTGAGTACAAAATATTTATTAGTACTTTATTAAGTTGCCACGGGAAGGAAAGTTTTATTGGTTATTTTCTTTTTGTAAAAATATTCCCCAATAAGTTAATGACAGGAGCTGCCCCCAAGTTGAAGATAAAGATCACTTTTTTGGAATGCAGGTAAGAAAGTAAGCAAGGCTCCTAAAATTCAGAGGCTGGTGACTCCTCTGACCCTGCAGAGGAAGCGTGCCAGAATTGCGGAGAAGAAGAAGAGAGTTGCAAAGGCCAAGGCTGATGCTGCTGAGTACCAGAAGCTTCTGGCCCAGAGGTTGAAGGAGCAGCGTGAGCGCAGGAGTGAGAGCTTGGCCAAGAAGAGATCCAGGCTCTCTGCTGCTTCTAAGCCATCCATTGCAGCTTAATTGTGCCACTAGGTTTGGTATTTTGGTCAGTTGTGGATGCTGATTCTAAAATCTTATTATAGGTTGAGATAATTTTGATTTTTCAAGAGTCAACACTGTCTTTTTGGGTTATCTCATGAACAACATGCTTTAAATTTTTTTTGACATGTCGTGGGTGTTTACCTGTTTTCTGTTTACTTTACGAATGGTTAATTACCGATCAGATTACATTCTGACATTTCATATCTTAATCTGCAAAAGCATGCTAACTCAAGGTTCCCAGTAGCGTTGGATTTTGTGGGGGGTGCCAAATTGACTTTCCCATACCGTTCGCCTCTAATAGTTTTACTACGTTGGTCAAAGCTAACGGGTTGAGTTTTTAGCATGCATGTGAAGTTGCTGATCTTGTTTTCTTTGGCTTTTGAAGATACCCTTTATTAGGCCAAATAAATTAAGAAAATTTTAATGGTACTTTCGGTTTTGCTAATAAATGTAAATTGCTCTTGCTTGTGAACACAATTTCAATCCTACATTCAAGCTCGGTGTTTGTGCATCTTTTCCTAGATCATTAATTCTGCAATTTCCCCTGAAATCGGCAATCAAGTGATCTTGGTTCAAATTGTGAGCAATATGACACTTGGTCGTTGGTCATTTGATAATTATATGATTTAGACATGGAGATAGAGGTCAGAGCACTGATCCAAATTTTACAATTGATTTGTGTCGGAATATGGTAGCAAGTGCAATACATACGCTTGTATGTCGGATGAAGGTTGCCTCAGCGCACGTCCTTTGCCTTGGATTCGTTGAAGTGGAGTGCACGAGTGTTGATCACTCCAAGTTTTTCTAGGTTTTTGGGTGGAAATGAAGATGGGTATCCTTCATCAGCAAGGATTATTTGATTGGGCATGAAATTTTCCATGATAGGCGAGGAAACCTTATCTATAAAACAGAGAAAAGCTACACGTGATATGACAAGTTTTGAGTATATGAATTCTCTAGCTGTGTCATATTCTCAATTCTCGAAATTTTCTATTTCTATTAATGGCGTCAAATGCAATAAAATTTCTTCTTTCAAGATTCAAGTAATACATCCACAGCCCGGCTATTGACCACCCTGCAATTGGTTCTTACCTCACCAGGCTGCCCGGACTGCAAGTCACCCATCTTCAACATTCCCTCGACGAAGGCATTGAAAAATTCATTTTGGTCATTGCTAAAAAGCTTTACATATTCTCTAGTCTGAGGAAATGTGAAAAGGGTTTGATCCGAATTCAGGAATCCTCTTCCTGCAACCAAGTCTCTGAAATATTGGTTATCAAACAATCTAGGTGTCGCATCAAGATCTCCGGTTACATTCTCGTCTCCACAAAGTGGACAAAGCTTGTCAAGCTTTTCTCTAAACCCTGGTTCGATGGCAGGGTCTGGCTTGCCTGAGCCAGATTGGTTGTAGAGCCTGAACATGATTGAGAAGCACCTTGCTTCGCCAATAGAGTGTGATCCTGACAGGGCTACGAGATCCTTGACAGATAGATTGAATTGGCTGAAGAGATCAATGAGAGAACTTGCATTTGCTCTTGGGCTTGGCATTATGTTGTTTGAGTCTTCTTGACTGGCTGTTAAGCTATCTTTTCTTCCTAGCCTCACTACCCAATCTGGTCCTCCAGTCTGGATACAAAGACAATAAGAATCACATCACTTTTTGGTAAATTACACAAAAAGGAAACTCTTAATTGTAAAGCAAAGCCTTTAAAAACTTTTAAACAAAGTAAGCTTAAACAAAACACAGTTAATTAATAATATCTGCTGTCGAAAACCTCGAAGGGTTTTACTCTACCTAGAACTAGAATTCATTACTTGTAACCCAGAAAGAAGGATTAAGAAGAAAAAGCACAATAGCAATTAGCAAATAAAACATGGACTTAACAGCTGCAACACTAATAATTACTTCATGGCCGACAACTTTGATGAATAAGTGAAAGTAATGAATGCATTACTATCATTTTTTAAGCTTGGTTGGACCAGCCCGACGGGCAAGGCGATGTGTTTGGCAAAGCCCAAAAACCTCATGCTGCTAAATATAAACATATATGTATATATTATCATCATTTTTCATTTTATAACACTGGTAATCTATGCACTTTTTGAATATTATGGGGAGAAATGTTCTTTTTAGAAGCTTGGATGGGAGAAAGAATAAAATAATCTAGGCAAATATTATAAGTTTATAAACGGTCCTAGTTGACAGACAAAAAGCGTCCATTCTGAATTTGAAGCGAAGAAATCACTCAGCAAATGAGTATCCCAATTATGTATGCTACCTTATGGCAAAATGTTGAATATAGCTTGTTTTTGAATTGGAAATAGAGCTAAACATAGTTACCAAAGCAACGGCATCTCTAGCGGCCATGATTATGATATCTGCACAAGAAACTATTCCTGGACAGGCCTTCTCCAAGGCTTCCTTGACCTCATCGACAACCTCGAAAGATCTTAGCGAATTTATATTAGAAAGAGCTAGTTTTTCCCCAAGCATGTTTGGTGTATCATCTAGCAGCAAAGAAGCATCACAACCCTGTAAAAAAGGTAAAAAAAAATAATAATAATCATGTACAAAGTGACAAGAAAAGGTAGACATGGAAAATATATGAGCTAGGTCTTTGCTTTGTTAAAAAGTATACATTAACAAAGCAATCATGGAATTGAAAGCGCATGACCGAAGCAACGCTTCTTGGTTCCCTAATCATGGCCTTCCTCATCACATCTCTGACTATGAATTCCGCTGGTGGACATGTTTCAGAGTAAAACCCTGGCCGGAGTGGGTCTGCAGCGGCCATGGTCATTAGTAGGAGAAAGAGTAGTGAAGGAAGGAGAGACATCATTTTTGGGGGACAATGGTGGACGGGGTGTGTGAAAATATACCAATTTAGGCTTTTTGATGGGTTTTTAAACTTGTTGGATGTATTCCTAGATGGGATATCATATATAGTGTGTTTGGTTGGTTTCCAACACTAATTTTAAGTTGTCTGAAAATTTAAATAATTTAACAAAAAGACAATATTCAAGATTATTAAATTTGTGTTTCATTAGAGACCATTTCTAAATCATTTTCATAAATTTCACACCGCAAAACATTTTTGTATAAATAATTGACAAATGCTAATTTGTCAAACTTCTAATTGCATTTATTTTAATTGTTACTATTTTAGTCAAAATTTGTAGCTAAAGAACCTTTCATTTGTTCAACTTTAAAAGGCTTTGATTTGAAATATATACGTACAAATCGTGGAAAACAAGTTTATGGAGTTTATGGAAATACAAATTCGTTATTTGTGTAAAGTAAACTATTAGAGAATTTTTGTATATGTAAATACAAAATATTAGATAATAATTTGAATAATCTTTAAATTTATCGCTTTATTTAAAGTGATAAATCAAACATAATTTCATCATAGTTACTTTTTAATTTTATTAAAAATTTATCTGGAGGTAATTAAAGATAAAAAAGTTTTACAAAAAAATTAATGAAATATTTTATAAATTTTTCTAAACTTTTGATCATTTTTAATCAAATTAAAAAAGTGTAATGATGTTCTAATCACAAGATGAGATTCTTGTGATTGCATGGGTGTCAACAAGTTACAAGGCTTCGTTATGACAAAAGGAAGCAAGAGAAACCAATCGGTTACTAGTGTGTGTGAGAGGGATGGTTAACTGAAATGGTGCATAGGTTGTTGTGGTTGCGGGGGTGTCCCCAATGAGTGGGTCAAACAATTGCGACATCCACCATGCCATCAACAACAAATATCCTAATATATCTCAAAAACCAAAATTATTCATCAATCCACTATTCTTGGTTTTGAACATATTATTTATCGATGATCACTCTTTTTCGTCATTATTATTTCATAATAAAATCTAAAATTAATGTGTATATCGCATGCAAATTTGTTGAAAAATCCTAAATGGCTATTTTGCCTTTATGTATACTACATCGAAAATGGTTATAGAATTGAGGCTTATATTTTGCCAACTTACGACCTATTCAAAGTTATGATTGGAATAGTTTTTGATTAAATTTGTGTATGAGTCGGACAAGATTTAAATTAGTCTAATCTGATACAATTTATAAATTTTTTTTAATCATAAATATAATATTAAATAAAATAAAATATTATTATAAAATATTATGATTAAAGATGGATTTGACTGCAAAAGTAGGTAAAAAATTACTTTTACCAACTAGGCATGAGGTAATTTTGCCTCCCATTATTGATGATAATGTAGTAGGTGAGTCATCTAAAGTTTTGGCCATAATTGAAGGAGAAAGCTTTGAAATGACATGTAACAAAACAAAAAAAGGTTTTCATTGACTATACCTTGGAACGTGGCTTTAATTAGGCATTTCATTGGAGTTAGAAGGGGGAAACAAACATTAGTGGATGGGCTAAATTATGGTTTACAGCCTTGTGGTTGGTCCCCTTCATCATGTGGTAAGCACTATTTCAAGGTCGTTCATTGATATTATAATCACCCTTCTTTGGCATTTTGTCGAAGGTTTTGGGTTTAAATTCTTTAAATTAATTCTGTCAAAAAAAAATCTTTAAATTCATTATTCGATTTAACAATATACTATTATCATTGGATCAAGACGGTAGCTCACTATTGAATCATTGATTCAAGTGTTAATTTTCACTATATATAAATAAAAAGATAAGCCTATTCTCACATATATTTTAAAAGGTTAATACAATGAATAATCTTTAAATTACAGCTAAATGTACAATATAATATTTATATTTTAAAAATTTTTAATATAATATTTAAATTATAAATATGTTAAATAATATAGTATTTGAAAAGTTTTTTTCGTTATATATTATTATTTAAAATTAATTATATTAGAAATGAGTAATATTATATTAATTAATAAATTTATAATTCAGATATTATATTAAATATTTTAGTAAAATTTCAATGATATTAACCCATATTTTAATTGAATAGACAGTGGTAATTTACAAATTAATAATGTAGTTGATTTGCGTGGAATACAAAGAAACTGTGAATTGAAAATAGAGCTATCTCAATTAAGTTAAAAAAAAAAAAAAAGGATAAAATTAATTCAGCGCAATTTGTATGGTACGTATCCCTCTCCTCATTGTCCATTGCCATGTTTGAGGGAGACAAGTTGCAAATCCCTCTCGATTCCATTTCCAAACAAGTTTGACATGTGATTGATAATATGCAGAATAGGATAGCTTCAAAAGATTATTGAATAGAAATCATAAAGAAAAAAAAAAGGATTCGGCTGCCTTTGCTTTTAGTCACAATCTATTGTTGACTCGAACCCCACACATAAAGTTTACTTACAAGTTGAGTTTACGTCAGAAAAACGAAAAGCAACGAAACTGGGGTTGGGGGGGGGGGAGAATAGTGATCATCTTTGAACAAAATGGAACCCACGTTTCAATCACTATCGCTCCATTTGAATTTCACGGCACCGAGATGCGATGCATTCAAACAATTTTTATCTCCAATTACACTGTTCATTTAAATTTTATCGCATGCTGATGGGATGGAATTCAAGTTACTGCCTTTGATGGGATAATCAGTTACGAAATTCAATTTCATTGTAACATTATATTTGTATTTAAATATATATTTTTATTATTAATTTTAGTTGCATTGTTATAATAATTAATTTTTAAATTATTATTATTTTTAATCTCACCAAAATTAATTTCATTATTCATTTAAGTTAATATTAATCATTTGAGTATCTACCATACTGACAGTGACCAAATCCTAAACAGTGAAATAGCAAAGGCTAACTTCTTACACAAACGAAATCGATAATGGAATCAAAATTGGATGCCTATTCTGATCAATTGTGCCACCTTTTTGCTATATTAGAACGTGATCCCTGCAAAAAGAAGCAATCTTTTTTGTTTTTAATTTTCAATTTTTGTACAAGAGGAATATTAAATATATGGGAACAGAGAAAGAAGAGGTTTGAATTCGAACTCAAGCTTACATGCCTCACAAAACGATCTCGATGCCACCCGGCCAGTTAGTGAAGGGTAAAAGTTACGTAAATTTTTTAAAAAGCTTTCCTTAGGATTTTCATTAATCAAGAGGATTAATTAAAAGACATAAACATTCATTTAGATTTAAAAAAAGAACATTCCGATTTGAGGATTTTTGTACGTATATGGTCAATAGATGTGAATATTTAATGAGAATGTGAAATCTTATAATCTTATCAAAAGCTATAGGAATTGTCCAAAAGAAAAAACTTTTAGGCTAGAATGATTTGTATATATCTCTTTATCAAGAAAATTTAAGGTGTTATGATTTTACGTCTAGCTAGTGATTGGAGTTGGATGGATATGGTAAAATGAATCACGGATTTCCATTCTTAACTTAGAATTTCTGGCTTTCATTTTCATTTTTGGTTTGGTAGATGCCATTAAAAGGCTTATCTCAAGATATTATATCTTGCCAAATAATGCATATGGTGATTGCATGACAACTCATTTTGATAATTAATTAGACTTATGTGCTTAATGAAATTGCAAATGCATCTCAAATGTGATTAATTGGACTAATTTAATCCTCGGTGTATATCTTACTATTTTTTTTATTTGAAAAAATTTCAACTCATTCTTTAAGCATATATTTTTCAAGTACAAAAAATACTATAGTTTCAAAATAAAAGAAAAATGGTAGATATTAGAATTTGAATATCAAATTTATCCAATATCACTTTTTAAAGATGATTGAATAAATCAATTGAGTATATATATATTTTTTCATGTTTGTCTTTATTTTATGTACTTAAAAAAAATCATAAACGTAAAATATTTCAAACAAATCTTTCATAACATAATATAAAATTATATATACACATGTCAAATTTTACCATCCAACAAACATCTAATGAATGAATATCAAATCAACTGTTAAAATTTATTTTAAACCATAGACAAATAGAAACCGTACTATCCAATAGGCTAAACATGTTAACTAGCCATTATTTTGGTTGATATAAAAATTTGTTTTAGCACAGATTTGAACTTATTAAACCAATGGTGCCATCACTTTTTTGTCAGTGAGATAATTTCAAAGGAAGATGGGATAAAAATATGATCAACTTTCTCGAAAGTTGGAAGAATCTTAAGATGAGGTGGGCTAGTGGAAGCTTTTTTTTTTAAGTGAGTCTTCCATAATGTAGATGATTAAGGTGGCATTGTTTAGTTGAAACTGTGCTTAGTTTTAGAAGTGAAAGAGAGCCCTAGTTGGTCTGTCTTTTTGGCTTGGAGAGAAATTTTTTATATGAATCCTTGAGGCTTTTAACATGGAATTCTTGAGGGACATATGGTTGACAGAACAAGAACTGACAGTCAGCTTGATACATTTGCACAATGGGCATTTGTATTACTTATTTATTGAACTATTGGATTTTTTTTAAAAACGAATGATCCAAAAAAAATGAACATTCAATTCAATTTGAAACGAAAAAAATTACTTTGATCTTGCCAAAAGAAAGAACTAACAGAGTGCAGGCATATTATATATGGATATCCAGGTAGCGCTGGATATGTCAGGAATGGTCTTGGAGCCCGACTTCAATGCTCAGCATGCAATGCTGTTTTTCTTGAACTCAATCCAACTTTCTAACTCTTCGGCCCTAGGCGAAATACAAAAGTAGGTTGTCACAACCTACCAAAAGTACAACAACACACTCCACAGTTGCTGAATTTGATTTCAGACAGGACAGGACCAAATCTGGCTCCTGAATCCTAAAAAACTGTCATTCCGGCAGTTGAAGGATACCAATTGGGCTATGTTCTATAAATTCTATAACTTTAAAGCCCATGTTTTATGACAAAATAAACACGTACACATAAATAAACAATCTCAGTCTCA